TGAAAAGACTGAAATAGATAGATAGATAGATAGATAGATAGATAGATAGATATGAAAATGACCGAGATAGATAGATAGATATGAAAAGACCGAGATAGATAGATAGATATGAAAAGACTGAAATAGATAGATAGATAGATAGATAGATAGATAGATATGAAATGACCGAGATAGATAGATAGATATGAAATGACCGAGATAGATAGATAGATATGAAATGACCGAGATAGATAGATATGAAAAGACTGAAATAGATAGATAGATAGATAGATAGATAGATAGATAGATAGATAGATAGATAGATAGATATGAAATGACCGAGTGAGATAGATAGATATGAAATGACCGAGAGAGATAGATAGATATGAAATGACCGAGAGAGATAGATAGATATGAAATGACCGAGAGAGATAGATAGATATGAAAAGACCGAGATAGATAGATAGATATGAAATGACCGAGATAGATAGATAGATATGAAAAGACAGAGATAGATAAATAGATAGATACGAAAAGACTGAAATAGATAGATAGATAGATAGATAGATATGAAAAGACTGAAATAGATAGATAGATAGATATGAAAAGACTGAGGTAAATAGCTTCTATATATCAGAAACAAGCCTAATTATACTTGCTGCAAAAGAATAAACATTGAATTCACACAAAAGTGTCTCCCCATCAATTGAAAACTCAAGTGTTTTGAATAGCTCCAGCTTCTCATATTCCTAAGATTAGGAAGTAAAGATAAGCGAGTGTAAAGGCCAGTCCTTTGAATTGTATACCAGTAGGAAACCTTGTCCTACTTCTGATAGAATTACCCTCTGTTTGGAAGGCTAAGTAGGGATTTATTGTGACAGGATGATGAAGATTTAGTAATCTTAGTAAAAGTTTTAAAATAAATAAAATTATTCTGGCTTTAAGTTTCTCCTTTTTTCCCTCATTATTATGTTTTACTTGTCAAGTTTTCACGCAAGTAATAGCAGGGGGCAACAGAGGTATGGTTCTACAGAAGGATGCTAAGGATACCATGGACCAAACATGTGAGCAACGATGAGGTTTTGGATAAGATAAGGTGGAAATAAAAAAAGAAACTTATACTTAGCATCAGGAAAAGGCAGCTGAAATTTCTGGGACACGTAATAAGAAAAGAGGGCTTGGAAAATCTGATACTTCCAGGGAAGATAGAGGGGAAAGAAGGACAAGGGGAAGCAACACGTGGCATAACTGGCTTAAGCAAGTGTATGGCCGAACAGAGTCTGGGAGAAATAACACCCCCCCACCCCAAAAAAACGAAACTTATTGAGAGCTACAAGGGACAGAAAGAAATGGAGAATATGGTCGCCTATGTCTTAAAGGAACACGGGACATAGAAGAAAAGTAGGAGAAAGTTGGCTTTTCAGTCTTGGTTGACAGTCCAATAAAAAGACAACTGACTACTAAGAAGAAGGCAAAAGAAAACATCGAAATTCTTTATTTTTCCCAAGAACAAACGATGGCGGTGAATATTTTGTTCATCCATTTTTAATATTTAATCTAATTATTATTATTTTTTTATT